GAAAGATATTCCAGGGTGAGAAGGCCACAGGGGTAGTTGGATATTCCAGGTAGGGGAGGTGTCAGGTGCTGAGGCAAGTTCTAGGATGAGACAGCAACTGAGACATGATTTTTNCAAAGATATTCCAGGGTGAGAAGGCCACAGGGGTAGTTGGATATTCCAGGTTGGGGAGGTGTCAGGTGCTGAGGCAAGTTCTAGGATGAGACAGCAACTGAGACATGATTTTTCAAGTCCTGAAAGAAGTCAGGTGCATAGCTGGGAGAATAATGTTCTTTTTCCTTTCTTTTTTTGTTGTTGAAGCAGTTGGGGTTAAGTGACTTACCTGGAGTCACATAGCTAGCAAGTGTTATGTGTCTGAGGCTGCATTTGAACTCAGGTCTTCCTGACTCCAGGGCCAGTGCTCTATCCACTGTGCCACCTAGCTGCCCCAAGAATAATGTTCTTAAAAGAGCATACCTTAATTTCATGTAATACTAACTAGTAGAGTGGCAACCTACTTATTCAAAGGCCAGATTTCTGATAGAAAACTCTGTAAAGAAAATCCCCAAACCTCAAAAGTAAGGGAAAATGTAAGGAAAGTTTTCTGAGTGCCAAAACTAGTCAGGGGTTATTACCTCTACAAAAAAAGAAAATTTCTCAGCCTGGCATTTGAAGCCCACCACAATCTACCCAGCTTTCCAGAGATCCTCTTCATACCCAGGTAAGCTGGCATATTACTTGCTCCTGGAAGATATAATACTCACCTCCCATCTCCCTTCTCCATGCCTTTAAACAGGTCTTCCTCTGTTCCTAGAAAGTGTTTCCTCCTCACCTCTACCACTTAAGATCCTTAGCTTCCTTTGGGAATTAGCTCCCATGATACTCCCTCCAGAAACCTTTTCCAGATTCTACCAATTGTGCTCCCTTCTTCGTCAAATTATCTTGTGTTATCTTTTATTTTCTTTCTTTCCCCCCTCCTTTGTGGAAAATAAGCTTAAGGACAAACATCTTTTTTATCTTTGTGTCCCCAGGTACCTTATACTGAACTTAGTAGCTCTTAGTAAATGTTTGTTGAATTAAATTCTTATTTTTTTTTTTTTTTTGGTGAGGCAGTTGGGTTGAAGTGGTTTGCCCAGGGTTACACAGCTAGTAAGTGTCAAGTGTCTGAGGTCGGATTTGAACTCGGGTCCTTCTGACTTCAAGGCTGGAGCTTTATATACTGCACCATCTAGCTGCCCCAAATTCTTACAAAGCCTTCATAGTAAAGCCAGACTTGTTTCTTTGATCTTTTCTTTGAGCTTTACTTACTCTTAACCTTAACATATGGTTGATCAGTTGGAGATATAGTATGAATCTTATAGCAATCACTGTTGTGGTTGTTCAGTCATGCCCAGCTCTTTGTGACTCCATGGATCATACTGTCTGTGGGGTTTTCTTGGTTTGCCATTTCCTTCTCCAGCTCATTTTCCAGATGAGGAAACTAAGGCAAACAGGGTT